AATTATGTAAGTATGTTTAATGTATGTGTGTGTGTGTGTGTGTGTTTAATTGTCGATTGTATATGTGAAGCACCATGACAGTCTGCCCCAAGTGGATTAATAAAGCTCTAACCTCCTGACTACCAGCTATGGAGTTTTGTCCTCTGTAGAGGACATTATGTTTTAGCGTTTTCTCTGAGACGTTACATGTCACAGTTTCTGGATGTACAGTCTGGATGTCCTGTACAGAGCACATTCAGGGCTTTCCAGAGATACCAAATGATTGGATGTTTGCAAATTGGATGCAAAACATTGGATGTTAGAAGTCTGAGATCCGCTAGTGAGCGACGCCTCGTGGTACCATCACAGAGAGGCTCAAAATCACTTTCCAGAACATTCTCGTTCACCACTCCTGGCTGGTGGAACGATCTTCCCACCCCTATCCGGAATGCTGAATCCCTGACAATTTTCAAGCGACAGCTGAGACACCAGGACTTAAAGCATGTTTATTACACATTTTGGGAGACACAACAAATGAATAGAGAAAAAATTATATATTGATATTCCTATTAAATATTAGATATTATTATGAAAATCTTGCTAATTATTACTCCCATTATTGCACTTATTTGTTCATTCTATGTTGCCCCAAAAACACATTAATATGCCAATTAGATACAGTTTATAGATACATTGTATATAATGGAAAAACTTGTTTATGGCCATTTTACACACATTTTGCATAAAGAAAAATGGTTTTTAAAAATATCTTTCATAACAGTTGAGAATCATCTTTATATAAAGTTTGGTATAAAAAATGAAAATTGATTTCTGGTTAAATAAAAATCCCACTCTTTTTGCCTTTTCATTTTTTTAAAAACAGGACTTTTTAAAGTCCCGATGTCCTCTACAGAGGACATGGCATTACATATGAATAAAATATAATTTTTCAAAAATTTTATTTTTCTAAATGTTTCTTATGCTCTAAACAATGTAATGACATGACAAAATACTAAATTCACAAAACTATTTTTTTCCTGGTAGTCAGGAGGCTAAACTAAACTAAACTAATCTTTTTTCAGCATTATCTTAACCTAAGCTGTTATACGGTGTGCTTTAAGCTACACTTTCTTCATACTCAGCTTCTTCGCCAACTTCTTTGTACTTAATCCATTTCACTTTACAAATCTCTATTTTCCACTTGCGCATGGTTTGGATTAAATCATGAGCCATTAAATTGTCTTGAAGTGTCCTACATCTGTTTGAGTTTGCGTGTTTCAACTGTATATTCTTTTGCCAATCTTCAATGCAGATGTCAAGATCTTGGTTAGTGCACTAGAGTGGCCACATAGCATAGTTTTGGCCATGTTCTTTGGGTCATTGTACTGTTAGAAATTTAATTCAATGGATTTGTTTTTTTCTTTTCTAGGCACTAACATTTTACAACCAGGACACTGAAATCACAGAAATTTTGAATAATATGGATGCTTACATATTGGCAGTCATGAACCCAGATGGATACAAGTACACATGAACAACAGTAATATGCTAAAACTATTATTATTATCATTATTATTATTACAGTGCAATTAATATGCTGTTGGAATTGTAATAGTGCATGTAGTTGTGCATGTGTAAAATGAAAAAAAAAAAAGGCTTTTGCTTGATCCAAATTTAACACAGTACTTATTCTAAAAAGAATTCTAAAAGACCCTCACGGCTTTTATTTATTATTTACCTAAACAGGATCGTATATGGATGAAAAACCATTCAACTAACAAAGACAGCGACTGTGCTGGAGCCGATCTGAACAGAAATTTTGATGCAAACTGGTGTAGTAGTAGGTGCCAAGTACTGGATCTTCATAAAAAAAAAAAAAAAAACATAATAATAAAGCATAATGCTGCGTCCCAATTTGCATATGTACTTTTTGTGAAGAAAAAGTACTTTTGCGTGTGTAGCACAATAGTAGGCATGCTTTGGGACATACCACTTCGTCATTATAACATCTCTCACGGACTGCTCTGTTGTTTAGTTACATGCATCCTGTCACCATTTCAACTGGCCTGTCAATCATATTGTCACAGTTATCATCATCCACATTTCATTTTATTCAATTTCTACCATATTGGAAAGAAATGAAGAGGTATGTTGATCTGCCAGGCACATGTCTTCCATGCTGAGAACTCTCCTCATGCAAAAAAACAACAACAACAACAACAAAAAACAAAACAAACAGAAGCTGTACAGGTAATTTTTTTACTAGGACATTTGTACAGACATTTCCATTAATCCTAAAACACACACACAATGCAGTGCAAAATTCAAAATACAGGTGAAACACCTGTAAGAATTTAATTAAAAAAAATAATAATAATTGCAACCATATAGCCTTTGAATGAATGAAAATGCATATTTTTCAATTAAAGAAACCTTAGAGAGTGTGGGCTTGGTGCTTGGATTTGTAGCCTACTTCAACAATGAGGTCCAAGAATAAGCTACATTTTTTTATGTATTTTTTTCTCTCTCTCTATTAAAGTCCCCATAAAATTAAAATTAAAGTTGTTTGGGTGTTAGTATCAATATGTTAGTCTTAAGGTTATCTATAAGGCAGTGTGCTCCAAAACAGTGACAAAATTCGCATTTAGAAGATATAAGCATTCAAAGCTTACAGTTCGTCACTTCCGCCAAAACGGCTCAACGACTTTTTTTTGACGTCACATCGAGCCTGGAAAGGATCACTCAAAAGCATCAAATTATAGACCAATTTCTTTAACATCTAACTTATGCAAAGTGATGGAGAGAATGATAATTAGCCGATTAAATTATGTAATAGAAAAGAAAGATCTAATATGTTCATATCAGAGTGGCTTTAGAAAAGGGCGTATACAATGGATTCATATAACAGACAAAGAAAGCAACTTGTTGAAAAATATGGAAGATATGGAAATCAATTTCAGTTATGAATATATTTCAGAATACACAGAAACATCTAAGGGTTTATGGTTCTCTTCTAAAATATCTGAGAGATACAGATTTGATTAGAATTTTTATTTTTTTTTATATTAGTAGTATATAATATGTTCGTTCATCGAGGCCTCACACTCCATCCCAGTAGGTGGCGGAAATGCACCTTACCAAGCTTTGATATAAACGAACGCTATTGGCTATTTTAAAAAAACTGTCTTCCTGTTTCAGTTAAAATTACTTCAACACATAGAGTAAGGCTGCGTGTTTCTAAGCATTTCAGGGGACCTTTAACTGCATTACACTGAAAGACGTCTTCCCTCAGGTAGATTGAATGTTGGGCTCATCATCAATAAGTTGTTTGCATTTGCCCAAACTGAATCAAAACGCGGACGGTGAAGCAAACTGCCGTCAGCGCGAGACCCGCTCGCTGAAGCGGGAGCCGGCAGAGGATTCCGCTTGGTCTTAAAGCCTTCCTGGTGAAAATAATAATATGGGATGCGAGAAAATTATAAATAAAAAGAGTGGGTCTGCTATGAGTGCAGGCAGTCTAGGGACAGCATCACTGATCTATATATAATATCTATTATAGATCAGTGGACAGCATCCATATTTCAACCCCAGTGGCATGACAACACAGCGGCCCTCGCGTGGAATATTTTAAAAAAGGTAAATATATTTACAGTGTTGCACAACCCTATGCCTAAACTACATTTGTTCATCATTTTGTAACAGTTTACACTGTTTTTATTAGTTTGCACGTTTTGTGTAGTCGTCGCTGACTGAATGACTGCAGACATTCAGCACACTTAAGCTATTGTAACTTACTTTGATTTCAGTTCGTTGTGCTGTAGCTTGCAATGCTTTAAAACTGTGTCTGTTGTTAGTTGTTTTCATTTGAGTACAACAGCTGAAATAAACTTGTATTTGTGGACTAATCGTTTTTCATCTATCGCCGGGGTGTGTATATATATATATATATATATATATATATATATAATACCTTGCTACGTGTACTTAGGCTAACCGAGACTTGTCATTTGCACTTATATATTGTTGCTCTTTTGTTAGTTTTGACTGCTTTTATTGTTCTCATTTGTAAGTCGCTTTGGATAAAAGCGTCTGCTAAATGACTAAATGTAAATGTTTAATGTTTTGGCTTGAATAAAAATGTGATGTTACTGCATGAAACACGGTTTTAGATTAACATTTTTTGTGTACGTCCATAAAGTAATTTCTGCAAAGCCAATGTTTCTTTCTTTCTTTACAAACAGTAGTCTAATTACAACTAGGCTGTAAAGTTATTTGTTGATCCTGACATTGGGACAACTCCATTGTAAATACATGCAGTTTAGGATGATGTGTTTCTGCATTTCTAAAGAAAATTATTTATTAATTTGTTTATTTATTTATTTTATTGTTTCATTTTCCCCACCATTTATGCTTTAATGCCTGATATGAAATATCATTATATTATTATTATTATTATTATTATTATTATTAATGGAAGAGTTTATTGAACCTTTAGACAAACAAGAAATTAAAAACAATATGGAGACCAGACCTCCAAAACAGGTCAATGTATTTTTTTGTAATCAGGCAGAAACAATAGAGCACGTTTTAATAAAATGTAAAAAATATGAAAAAGAAAGGTTAAAACTCATTAAGGAAGTAAGAAACATGGGTGTTGAATCATTTA